CTGAGCCGAACTTGTAACGGACGGAAAAAACAACATTCCCATTTGCATCCCGAGACGACTTTTTTGAGTCCGTGGCGACAAAAAAGTCCCCTCGAGATGCAATGGGAATGTTGTTTTTTCCGCCCGCCGCGAGCTCAGCTCACTGTGCTCCGCAGTCAACAAACGCGCGAGAAAAGACGACCTCTCACAGCGGCTGCAGCATCAAACACGGAATGCAGTTTGTCGCTTGCGTAGAAGGCGTGGTCTGCAAGATTCCGTTTTCCTGCGGGCGTGCGTACATAGGACAGACTGGGCGTTGCATCAACATACAACTACGAGAACACCACAGTTCTATAAAAGGAACCGCTCCCACACGTCTCGTGATGCATTGGCGGGATCGCGAATACCAACCCCTTTAAAAAAAAAAAAAAAATAAACACGACAGTGATGTTCCGACACAACCAGAAACTACCCCGAGAAAGTATGGGAACTTACCAGATAACACAAAACGGATCCTTGTGCGTGAGCCAGCCAACAGTGACTTTGATGAGCAGTGAGATCCGCTTTTTGGATCTCGGATAACTCGGCCGGTTTCGTGTTTGGATACATGGTTTTGCGCAAAAAGACGGACACAAGAGAGAGAAACAAACACGTGCGCTCGTGTTTGTTTCTCTTTCTTGTGTCCGTCTTTTTCTGCGCAAAACCATGCATCCAAACGTTCACCAACTCCCCCAACAACAAACTATTTTACAGTAGGTTTCGTGTTGAGTGAAAGAATAAGCGCCAGGGCCACGGAGGGGCATGCCTGCACGAGCAGCAGCAGCAGCATCATGTGTATTTTATTTTCAATAGAATCAGTTGCTAGTTTAGCGCTTGTCCTTTGTTTTCTCCTCTGTCTGTCCTTGTCTCAGTCGCGCTGTAAGTTATGATGAACTTTTCTTGACCATTTCGAGGCGCTCGACAGATGCAGATCAAGAGATCCTGGCATGGCAGCATGCGAATGGCGAGAAAGTCGAAACTGCCGGTTTACGGGTTTACCCGGAAACTTTCTCTATTTCCCACCAAAATCTGATTGGCGAGGAAACAGTCACATGCGCAAAGTCTGCCCAAATGTACTTAGGGGAGAGACCTTGCACAACACCGAGTTTTGCGGGGTGCAATGGGGAAGGCAATATACTCTTCGATAAGCATTCGTGCAATGTCTATCTTACACCTAAATTCGACAAACTACAAGCTTGTTCAACCTCCGAAAGTTGTATGACAGCAAGGTGGTGTGTGATTGCGTTTTTTTTTTTTTTTTCATAACGTCAGCGAGGTTTTAAAAGCATCGCACAACGTTCTCTCAAGCAGGCGACGTGGGCGTCGTCTGCTTCCTGTTGCCCCCCGGCAACAGCACCGCTGCCACCGCCCAGAGAAAAAGCTAATGGGAGAGAGAGCAGAGGAGAACAGAATCTGGTCTCGAGCTCACTGGGGAGCTTAAGAGAAGTATCTACACCTAATCTTCTTTTTTGCACCGTGTCTCCTTGCTTCGTTATTTCTTCGCCATTTCTTCTCTCTTTTTTTTTTAATTCTTTTTTTTAGCGGTTTGTTTGGGGAATTAACTTATGCCGTAAAAATGTTTCTTAATCGGCTGTCAGAGTAAATTGTGTCAAAACGCCGGTTTCGCGTCCGCGCTAACCGTGTTGTAAAGTATACCATCCGTCTACGGGTTAGACACGTGAAAATGTTTCTGTTCTGAATTGTTCGTGATTTTCATATACATTATAATGCACACAGAAACCACGCTTAACCAGTAACAAGACCAACAGCTACTTCTAAGGCACTATATTACTACATCGTAAGCATATTGCTTTTGTTATACTTTAGCTTATCTTTTTTATGCATTGCGACGGGTAAAATATATGTCAACTTTTGGCGTTGTGTAATGAGCACCCACACACTAGTAATCTTTTATGGATGGTTATTACGATGTCAGCTTTCAGTGGCGGCTGAGTTTGTCACACGAGCCAACTTTGCCCTTTGTTTCTCAATACTAGGCCCTGGACTCTCCAAAAAAGAAATCAAGTTATTTTGTTTTTATATATTTCGTCTTTACTTGAGAAATTGTGCATTTTCACGCGCAGGAAGGATATTTGGCACGTGAAAACACACATAGTCCAAATCAAATGATTTGTTTTGTTTTATAAAGAAAATTACTAAATTAGGCTAGGCTGCGTTATTTATGAGAGTACTAAAAACAACACTTGTCTCTCTCACGTTTATACGTTTATAATAATTACGCCCATCCTCCGAAAGAAAGAAAAACTAAACACAAAAATGAACGCCCTGGTGAACATTTTTTTCAGTTCAAGTAAGTTTATAAATATCAGTTTTGAAGTGGGGCGTTCTTGGGTGGCATTTAAAACACAATTTAAAAATAAATTGTTGGATAAAGAGCTTTTAAACTCACGGGTTTATATCACATCAAGTCTACAATGCCGTCCCCCTTTCTTGCCTCGCCTTGGCGCAATCGGTCGGTTCGCTTCATGATTCCCTGTAGAACTTTTAATTTGGCTACACGCCATTCTCGAACAGATTCAATGACTACTTCATTACAGGTGAATTCACAAAGATTTATCAAATTAGTACCAGTTGCAATGAAAAGGCAAATTTTGAAGTACTTTTCTTAAATGTGGATTGGAGTATACAAAACAAAAAAACTACCATTGTACATGAATAAGCCTCTGCTGCGAACCGAATTGCTTCAAATCGGCCACATTTTTATTACAACACTTTGAACGCAGACTTGTCTTTGAATTCCAGTATTTTTTTTTTTTTAAAGGCGAAAATCCCAAGGTCGAGGATTTATCCCTGGCGGTTGCTCCTGCTGAGCAAGAGTTCGCGCAGCCGAGATGCATCCTTCAATGAAGAGCTCGCTCTAGCAGCCTAGCAGCGGAATTGTTGTACATTACAAAAAGCTGGAAGGCAAGAATTAAAGCGAAACAAAGGGCAAATGAACACAAATAAGAATAACCTATGCGAATGCGTTAGAAGAACAGAGCGACTTTTTGAGCGACAGTGAATCGACGAGATGAGATCACTATGGCGCATGCCAATTCTAGTGCTCGAGGCATGGGAACCGGGACTCGTAGCCAGTTGCTGGCGGGCCACGTCTAAGAGAGTCGCGGGCCGCATGCGGCACGCGGGCCGCATGTTTGAGACCCCTGCTTTAGGCACTCGACGTTGGCGAAACTGTAGCCATACAAGTTCTAAAACTAAATATGCGCTTTATGTTTGGGGTAGGTAGGCTGGGCGTAAACAGTATATATAAGGAGAGCTTTATCATTGTTACTAGAGGCCATCACCCACTTGCATTGCCTAATTCACTCGGTCCGATCCTGCTTGCGATTTTCAGTATCGACTTCGAGCATCGCAGCCACCGTCCACGCTTTTGTAGCCCGAGCGACATCGCGACTGAATAATACCGAACAGAACCTCATCACGTGAGTCAGGCTTTAGCGTTCATTTTGCGGCGTTATAGGGGAATGAATCGCACGGGGACTCACACCGACGCCGACATCACATTCCAATGGATAAATAGTTGTGGGACGCGGCGCTTCTTGCCTACACCATATCGTGCAAGCGAGGTGCCGGTGGTGTGCCGCTAGGGGCGCTCCGGTTTGTTTGTAAACAAGAATTTGTGTATATTCTGTTTCATCTTACGTCCGTCAGCACCAAACGTTTCATCCCCGTCGATCCAGCTCTGTGAACGTAGCATATGACTCCAATTTCCGCGCGTCGCAGGACTTATTTTTGAAGGTCACGGGAAACTCGCATGGCCTTGGGATTGGCTTCGATTGCTCGTAGCCTACGCTGCGGCCGGACGTAAGATGAAACGTGGTATACCGAGGGCGACCGTCGGCGCCAGCAGCTAACGGGCGAAATAAACCGCCTTTCATTCGCGATTACTGCAGTTACCACAAGGGCTCCTCGCAATTCAAGATCACTAAGATCCCAAAGTGCTACAGGCACCGTCGGAAGCAGCAGAACACATGCAAACTTCTCAATATATCATGCTCCTCGCACACACTATATCTAAATAAAGTTAAACTTGTCTTAATAATTTTGAAAAAAAACACAAAAAGACTAGGAAAGCACATCAGTGTGTCGCGGGTGCAACGCATCTTAAACTACCCAAAGCTCCCCGTAACCAGACATAAGAAATCATGACGCGCGCATAATGCAGGCACGGCATATTCTGTGTTCCTCGAATTTGTCAAAATGATAAAGATAAGTTTTTGTTTTTTTTTGCTTTCTTTTTTATTTTTATTTTCTCTCTCTCTCATTCTTTTCTCTCTCTGCCTCTCTCTCTCTCTCTCTTGAAATGCAAAAATGTATATAATGTTTAATAAGTAAGCCCATCATACACGCATATGTTATTATTTTCTGCTAATATTTCTAATATGTAATTGGCACAGTGTTTTCTTTCGTGATGTCCTCCATACATCTGGATTTCCCGGATATTTATTTGGTAGCCAGATCTTAATCAATTCGTTTTCCCTCCGGCAGAGTTACAAGGAAACACAGTCGTGAGTGAGCTTGCCGAGGAAAAACATACCACAAAGCAATAAGCCGCGAACCAAGAGCGAACCAAGGTAATCCGTTCAAACGAAATACAAACAGTAAAAAGCCTCGTCCTTGACACGATGGAAGAAAGAAAGACTGTTCGCATCTGATGCAGACCCTTCTCTTCCTCGTCGGTATGCTGTTTGTGCGGCACACGGCACGTGTCGGATATTTTCCTCTATAGTTAGATTGGTTTCGTTCTTTCCTTTGAATTTGCCGGATACACGTTCTAAACGATAAAAAGCTACTTTTGCATCGTCTGAGCCCGACTTGCTCCATGAAAACCGAGCTCGAAGAGTGTTCATACCACGCAGTCTCGAAAGAGCAACATGCACTTTATTCGCTCGGGTGTGGATATCATGGCTTGTAGGCATTCCGTCCCAACCGCCATTCTTCTCTCATCGGTGCTTGCGCCGATGTTTTTTAGCCTAGTTTTGTCTGAGGAACCCGTTGTCTCAACGAGCGCTGGTGTTGTGTCCGGTCAACGTATTTTAATCTCCGGGAAGAAAGTCGACGCATTTTATGGGGTTCCGTACGCAAAACCACCCGTTGGAGAACTTCGGTTCATGAAGCCGCAACCGGCCGAGCCGTGGAACGGGACCTACAAGGCTACCACCAAACCCACTGCCTGTAAGCAACTGGACCTTCGTTTTCTCAAAGGTGTCACGCTCGACAACTCGGGCTCTACCGAGGACTGTCTTTACCTGAATGTGTGGAGGCCAGCGAACATTTGTCGTAAGGAAGCCAAGTGTGACAGGAAACTTCCTGTTGTTGTCTTCATCTACGGAGGCGGCTTCCAGTGGGGCGATTCTGCGCTCCTAGTGTACGACGCGGCAAATTTTGTGGCTTTGTCGGATGTTGTGTTCGTGAGCTTCAATCATCGACTCAGCTTGTTAGGCTTCCTTTCCGTTGGTACGCCAGACTTGCCCGGAAACGTCGGATTTTGGGACCAGCTTCTTGCGCTAAAATGGGTCCAGAAGAACATTGCTAATTTCGGCGGAAATCCAAATGATGTCACCCTTGGCGGCCACAGCGCAGGCGCCATCTCTGCTGGACTCCACGCTGCCTCGCCCTTCAGTAAGGGTCTCTTTCATCGCATAATTATGCAAAGTGCCTCCCCTTTAAGTTTAATACTTGGCCTCACTTACAAAGGGGCAGGAAGGTTTCTTGACATTGCGGGAAAACTGGACTGCTTCAACGCAGAAAATGACTGGACAAAAGAAGTAACAAACATTATTGAGTGCATGAAGAAACTTAACTCTTCAATAATTTTCCAAAAGCTAGAAGAGCAAGATCCTGTCAATCAGCTCTTTTCTCCTGTGTTCGGAGACGAATTTTTGCCCGTAGACCCTCTATCTGAATCTGCCTGGAAACAATTTCACGTAAAAGAAATTTTCGCGGGGACAACGACAAATGAAGGTACGCTCTTCGTGGACAACATACGTTACGCTGCGCCGCAGTTAGAAACTATACTCACATTCGATTATCGACTTGGGGTTGCCTTTGCACTTTCACTAATATTTAAAATGCCATTAAAGGCTGGACACACCGTAGTAAGAGAGTACTTTGGAGCAGATGAGATTGAACATGATCCTCCCAGTATAGTTCGGATATTTTCTGAAATTGTGGGGGACGTGTTAATAAACTGCCCCGTTGATCTTTTTGAAGAAGTAACGACACGACAAGGAATTCCGACGTACAGATACGTTTTTGACCATCGTCCGTCGTACAGCTTGTGGCCTGAGTCTTTTGGGGTGACACACTCTGACGAAATCCCCTTTGCTTTGGGATCACTGCCTTTCATTGCGGACACAACTCGACACACGGCTCCTCTGGGACCCTTTGGAAGCAAAATCCTCTCAGCGTTAAGATACACGAAAGACGAACAAACCTTCATGGAGCAGATTGTAGGGGTCTGGTCGTCCTTCATCAAAACAGGGTAGGTACGCAGCGCATGCTTGTTATTTACTTACTGGCGCAGAATATACTTCAAAATTATTGAGATTATTTCACACAGACTTTTAGATGTCTAAAGAGTGTGTTTTATATCAACCTAATATTGTATATTCCGCGTTTTTTCCTGTGTGAATTATTTTGTTTACCTCTAAAGTGAGTGTTTAGCTCACAAACCATATATATAATTTGGACCTATTGGCTTTTTACTTTCCCAAAGAAAACATGCGCATCTTGTAACAAAATTAGGTCTGGAGTTATTGCCTGTTGCGCTTTCCCCCAAGCGAGGTTCTCCATTTATGTGTTCGTCAACTCTAAAAAATAAAATGAGAACTCTAAACTCAGCGACTCTGATGGATCTCGTTCTGAGCTCCTCGTGAGAAATTGCCATGGTTGGTGCAGTAGCATTCTGTTTTACACATGGTTATAAGCGATTACAAACGCAGTGGCGTCACACGTCGGTGAGGGAAAAAAAGAGGGGGGAGGCTAAGAAGGGGAGGGACGGTTTTTGTTTGTTTCTTCCGTATAAATAACTAAAATGAAGAAATTACTCAATAAATAAAATGACTAAATGGGCGCAAAGGAGGGATGGGTGGTTGATACCGCCTGTCTTGTTGCCACTAAAAGAAACTTGTTTCGTTTTACCTATTTCTTGTTCTATGGATGAGAGCTAGGATGAATAATATTCTAAACAGTCTTCCTTTGTTTTTTGTTGATAATATATTACAGAAAAATGGAAGTCCCTCTGAGCGACGACCCCTGGCCAAAGTATACCTACAAGAACCCGGAGTTCATCAATATGCAACCTGGCAATTTTACGAAGGGCCGGACACAGAGACGATGCGAACTTTTCAGGCCATTCCTCTTGAAAAAATAAAAAAAAATTACAGGCTTGAATTTTGGAAATGTATTTGCAGGTGCTTGGACTCTACTCACTAGATTTCTATTTTAACGGTGCGTAAGATATATTGTGTATGTGCGCGCATTTATGACGTGTTGTCTCCAAAATATTTTACAGGGTCGCTATTTCGTTCAAAGCCTATAATTTCTGTTTTGTGTCATTTCACTTAGAACTGTGTATGTTGAAGTTGGTCCCATCAAGGGCATCGTCTTAGTTTAGCTTCACTCAGTTAAAGGTTTTCATTACAATTGCAATTGATGTTTGCAGGTGGCTCTAAGCACAGGGCATGCTTCATTGTAAATTAGATACATGGCAATTGTCATTTGAAACACCGAATGGCACTCAACTCAGGTCTCTGTTATAGACCTGAGTTGAGTGCCATTCCTAGCGTACGCCTGTTTAGGCTAGGCGTACGCTCGGTTAAGATTTCGCAGCTAATCATGAGGCAAAATTCTACGATATCGTTCCTATGTTCCTGCAATAATAATATCTAGTAACGGACTCCTAAATCCACAAGTGAGAGTTTCATCTGTGATTGGTAACATACAAGAACAATGTTATTGAAGGGACTAAAGAGCTTGAGGGTCCTTACTTTCCCTTTTAACTTGAATCAAGTCAGGTCCCACAGAAGGAAGCATTGAAGAAACGTTCATGTCCTGCTCACTTAGAAGTGTTGCAATCCTCAACGGCCCAGAAAACTGGCAAACATGGTATCCCAAATTACAATCTCGATTTCATAAATTACATATATAATCTTTATCATTAAATTCAGAACAGCATCCTTTTCAACTGTTCATCAAAAAGAAAGCAGTCAACCGAAGTAGTCTGTGATATACTAAGCGCGACTGTATAATCACTACTAGTTATACAACAGCTCGACTGGACCACAGCAAATTACAAATCTAGAGTCGCGCATCGAACGCTAAATGCGCGACAGAACTAATATCAGTATTGTTATTGGGACGAAATGTGCTCATCCCGGACAAGAACTTTGGTGATACAATTTTTTTCTTCAATTATTTGTTTAAGCAAAACGCAGCAATGCGGCAAAGTTATTTTTGCACTAATGGTGACGTTCAGGGCGCTTTTTATATCCAGAATTTGCATGTTTATGCATCAGATATTTGTATAGTTTCTTTACCCTCCGTGGTAAGGCCTAAGTTTGGCTGTTTGAAAGGAACAAAAAATACATCTCAAACTTTGATTTGCTGATAACTGGTCAAGGTCCTGATGAACGCGGCCCTTTTTGAACCAGCAGTAGGTGGGACACCTGGTTAAGTGACCTTTTGGCGTTGAACGCCGTTAAGTCAGGAGATTTGTCAAATTTGAAACGATTGTTTTAAAGGATCAGATTTATTTAAAATCTATCGAGCAATTAAGTTCGGTTTGACAAGGCGAATTCTCGCAACTCTAAAAGGACCATGACCGCAGTCACTGAGCACGATCTCAAAGTCGAACGTCAAAGTTTCCTGCTTACCTCTGGCGCAGGGTTCACGTGCAATAATTCGGTGGCATGCACTAAACCAAACTGTCTTTTTATAACCGCAATTCGCTTTGAATATAGTAGCCGTCCGAGGCGCCCCCCGTTCATATCCTTGGGACTCTACGTTTCTTGACGTGCCCCGCATCACTCCATGTTCCAAGCAGTTCAAATTCACTAACCTCATGACATCGCTGGATTTATCACTTCGTCTCAATTGGTGTCTTCGAATCGGTGCCGATATGCATGATTAATAAGAGATGAAACCAGACGAATGAAGGATGGAAGAGTGTAATATTTAGCTTACGCGTGCTTTTTGTTTCTGAATGATTGTAAGTTTGTCTGTTGCAACTATCGTGATTTGGCACGACGATCGTACTTGCCTGAGGAATCGTTTTCTACTTAGGGCATTAAACAATGCTGATTGTACCCCGAATAACGAAGTCACCACTTAATGTGGATACCACGATTTTTAAATTTGTTTATCTATTTCTAGGTATTTTGCTTCTTTTCTATCTTTGCCATTTTATATATCCGAACTCTTTTTAACTATTGTAGAAAATAGAGAAGAACCACTTATGCTAGACAAAATATTCAGCGACCGCTTTTGGCCGGTTTTCGTTGGATGTGTGTCAGCAGGCCAAAACGCTGTTTTGGCCTGCTTTTTTAAACCTGCACGGTTTAAGAAAGTTCCAGTAAATTACATTCATTGGAATAGCTAGTTCGCAGAATATGGTTGATCCCTAGAGACATACTTATCAGCAGATCACGCGCGAATCGTCTATGGATATCCGCAATCAACTGGCGGATGTGGATAAAGATTAATCAGATTTGGCGGATGGGGAATCGGCCGCAGATGCCAGGCGCTGCGGATGCGGATCATATCCGGATATCCGCTGGTCCAGATCTAAATTTTTGATGAAGCGACCCGCAAACGTATGCGACCGCAAAGTGTATGGACGTTCCCACAGTCACAGTCCACACGTGCTAAATCACAGTCCGGCCAGCGCTCGCTCGCAACTGCGGCCAGCCTGAAAGTGTGCGTGCATAACACACAAACACTGCAATGAACGCGCCCTCATGCGCTTTTGCGCAAAGGTGCATAAAGTTAATAAATTAGTGATATAAATGAATGACCGCAAAGTTCACCATCGAATGTTTTGCGGGAGCAAATTACTCTCCTAGAAAAACGGTGTCAATAAGGCAGAATATTGTTCCTTGCGCAAAGAAAGACCCGATTCTCACCAAAGATGGCTTTAGAGCGTTATATATCGAAAATAAAAAGCTGTCCCTAGAAAACAAAATGCAGAAGCATCAATTGTCTTGGTAAAGCGTGTTCTTGTTCGGCAGGAAAAGAGCGGAAAACGTTCTTCGGGCAAAGAAAACCCAAAACGTACAAGCGACATCCCGGCGACAAAACCAAGTGCGATAAACGCGCGCATGTTCGGTTTATTTTTAACAACACGACACTTGCCCAGTACAAGAACTCCCAGTACAGGCTACAGCTGACGCTCTAATATAAACTTCCTCTTCATTCTGCAGAGCAACGTTTGGATTGATCCTAGAGACTCAGATACTAACGTGCGCGACCTAAAAATATCCGATCATATTGTGCAGCAGCCCAAAAATAGTTTCGTGGCTTAGTTATTAGTACAAATAATGTAACTCAGATATCACTCATTTGAACTAAAATGTGATCACGCAAACAAACAAAAAAAAATGGGCATCCAAGTAGGCGGGCCGTTATTGAAACCGGACATAAGCTAACAGTTCAAGTTGTGATCTTATTTAAGGAAACCCCGCCACGTTGCCTTCAAAATTTGTCTGCCGCTAAATTATTCGTTCGTACTATTCGTGCTTTATCGAAGCTTACTCTAGATTGCGTATAAATTATCACCATGTGTTCTACGCCCCCCTCCCACCTTGTTTTTATCGTGTCCGTGTGCGACCGTACAGCAGTGGAGAGTGAATGAATGAGTGATAATATCAAGTGCCTCATCGAATGTTATTGTGGGGGCAAACTACTCTCTTAGATAAGAGGTGCCCATTTGGGAAAGATTGTTCTTTACGTCATTAAATATTCTAATCTCATCAAAGGTTGCATTAGAACGTTTTATCTCGCCAAAAATACTGTTCCTAGATACAGAAAAGAACGCAGAATTATCAGTCGTCCCGGGAAGGGTGTTCTTGTTTGGCAGGAAAAGAGCGGAAAACGTTATTTGGGCAAAGAAAGCCCAAAACGCGCAAGCCATAAGGAACTAAAAGGAGCCTGCAAGTGAGTTCTTCGCCTACAAGTATATATAGAGGAGACGGAATTCAATCCTTTGTAGTGGTGGAACTTGCGCCAGCACCGGTTTCCGGACCTCATTCTTGTAGCGCAGTTCGTGCATACCATCCCAGCATCAAGCGCACCAACGGAGAAAGACTTCTTATTAGCGGGTATTATTTAACAGAGGCGAACCAGTCTGAATCCGTCCGAGTTAACGGTATTCTGTTTCCTCCACACAACCTCGACAAGTGAAACGTTTTGTCTGTGTCCGTTTTATTTTTCATGACAGTTGGCACTGAGTTGCCTTTAAGTGTATGGTTCCGAGCATGCAGTTGAGAGTTTGTGCCAAAACAAGAGGTGTTGCCGTTTTTTTTTAAATATTGTGATATTTTTCCAGTGGTGTACTTGCGCCTTACCAGATATACACGAGTATTGTGCTGTGGCGAGTAAGCACCTCTCCTTTCCCACTTTTTTATTGTTTAGCCTAAATAATATGACACAATGTTATTAGTCGGTCATTTGTCTATTCTTATGCTCACAAAATATGCGTCTGTGTGAACTGGGACTCCCAAAGCAGAAAATAATATACATATAAATTGCCCTTTGAGCGCATCTATATATTGGACAGAGTATCAGAGCCACAGACTCCTAAAACGATCGTATAACTGCAATCATTTTTCGAGCAATGCGAAGTGTCTCTGGAAGAATGATCACTTATATTATAAATACGATGAAACAGAACACGGTAAAATTAATTGTACCGTATTTTTGCACAGAGGGTTATTTCTAGGGAGGTGGGCAGACGGTTTGTAGAATAACATCCAGGTTCGTTTTTCTATGCTTGCTTTTATTTTTTTTTAATGAATGCGCGGGTTGAAAGTCGGACGCGGTTCGGATACGAAGTCTGCGGATGATGATCGGATGCGAATGATCAAACTCTTATCTGCGCAGGGCTCTACCCATGTCCATATGCATCTTGCAACACTGGCAGTGCGTTTTACTCGAAGGCTCAACATTAAAATGATCTACTTTATTAAAGGTTATCATCCGTCGTTTGTTAAAGTTTATTTCAAACAAATCTTAGAGTACGACAGTCTAAGGCAGCGTGTTCCTTTTCTAAGTTCCTGTTTGAACCCCGCCTTGTTTCTCCAAGACGCCAGCTGCAAACTATACCTGGGTAGGATGAACGTCACTGAAGCAAAAGTATACTCTTTACCCACTTTTCGGCAGCCTTGTTTTGAGCTTCTTATAACGAAGCTTCGGGGTGAAAAACAACAGCTGTAAAACAAAACTATAAGTTGCAGCATGAGTGTTGACTGCGAGCTGTCGATTGAACTATAGTGACGCGTGGCACTTGAAATTGCCCCTCTGTGGAGGCACCGGAGTTCACGGCTTCAGGTAGGTTTTCCAGAAGTTGCAGTTCTTTTCGTTTGGTCCACGTCCATAAGTGTACCGTTTCGGATTGAGTTCCATGAACACCTGATTCTTGGCGCTGTACTCGGGCCACGGTTTCCCAGCAACATCAGGTACTTTCCTGGAACACATAACAAATGGCATAAAAGATATTCTAGGCACTTACAGCTTAACAAATGCAGGGCGGGGCGAGGTATACGCATTGTCATATTATCGCTCTTCTGCGTGTTTATAATCGGCCCCACCGTGCGTTTCTTCAATTGTCAGTGACTAAACAACGCTTGCACGGTCGACTTTGTGCGTGTATCTTGCGTCGTGTAGAAAAGGCACCGCGATGTGCGTGAATTGCCAGCTCGACTAGCATAGCCAGTTTTGTGAATTTGAGGTCTTACCGCCGAATTCAGAAACCTCACTCAAACTACACTCAAACTGAAGGGCCCCTCCACTTCCTCGAGGAAGGCGCGAGGGGCCCTTCAATTTGAGCGTAGTTTGAGTGAGGTTTCTTAATTCGGTGGTTAGATTTCAATGTATGTTTCTACGAATTCACAATAGAGGAATGAATATCATAACAGTTTTATTGTAACTCAATCTTGCGCTGAGAACTACCACCGACGGTTATTACACCCATCCACAAGCCAAGTAATTCACTACCAACTTTAATCATTTTTGAGCTTATACTCTTATATATCAATTAAATATGCAGGCTGTGGCTAGAATGAAGATGTTCCTTTGAAGAGAAAGCATGACAGAACTAATATTTTCTTTTGCGATAACTTTTGCGGCCATGGCCTCTATAGGGGCCTGAGTGGGACGGCAAAGCTGCCTCCTGAAGTTACAAAAAATAATCAATCGACTTTCCCAAATATGCATCTGAGCTGACACTTGTTAGTTAGCGATTTGTAACTTGTTGTCGAAATAATTAATCGTATTTGAGAACGTGTAATTCTGCTCCGCACAATTTAGTGGCGAAGTTAATCTGTTCTAAGATCTCTAGTCTGAACAGTGTCCCATTGAACCAAAACCAAAAAGGAAAAACAATCCCCGAAGTCTCTGCCTCGTATGAGACGCCATTGATTCTGCGAGCAGGTGTCCAGAAATACCGCCCTGCTACGAGACGGACTCGCGAGCACTCCCCTACCGGCTCCCACGGCGGCCATTGAAGTTCCTTGAGAATGTCCATATTAATGTCCATATTAAATTGAGTTACTCGGGCCTTAGGCACAATAAACTGGACACTAAAAAAGGCGTACCACACAATTGTTTTCTAAGATTAACTGCGATGGCATATTTCCACGACTTGCTACATACATTTTAGAAGTGCCTCCATGCACAAAGGAATGTTTAGAATGTAAATAAGTGAGTTTTGTCCAACTCTTTTCTGAAACATCACTGCATGTGTCGCTGTTGTCCGCAGAATCAGATGGCGTTGTCCCGTAAGAGTAATTTTTCTCATTTCAACTGCTATATTTAAAACAGTTTCCGGAGAGTGAAAGACTTGTCAAACTGTGCAGCTGCATATAAAAACTTTTTTCGCACCGTCGTAGGGGTTGCATACGATACACGGAAGTTGTGCCCTTCACAGCCTAAGAATTAAGTTGTTCCAAATAGTGGCTCAGGAACTCAAGTTGTAGAAACGTTGAGTAGCTTGAACGTAGGTCTTTATTTGCGTACTTTTTTAACCCCCCCCCCTCCCCCTCCCCCAGTCTTTATGAATTTCTATCTTCAGTGTCCTATTTGATATTACAGAAAACTCTCAGTCGTGTTTTAAGTTGGTTTACATTATACAAGCTCTGGTTGGAAGGTGTGGCAACATGCTACATTCTCACATGCTGTCTGCGCATGTTATATTGTACTTGCTAGCCTTGTAAAAGCACGGCACTGGCATCTCGAGATAACATTCGACGATGCGGTAACGCTACATCAAGTGGTCGAAAACGCGGCTAAATCTAACGCTCCACGTGCCACGCTCATTATCCCAAGTTTCGTTGACTTAATGTACAAGGAGCTGCCGTGGTTTTCCTGGGTCTTCAAAAGGCGTGTTTCTTTTTTTTTCTTTTTTATCGTGGGGCGTGAAGAGCATGTTGAGGAATTCTAGCAGTTAATATTATTAAGGGCGTCGCCTTTCTCATCCAATTCGTTTGAAGCATGAGATCCCAAATATCGCTAATTCCCTTCATTTAACATAAAGAAAAATATAGTCTCTCCCGCATCAATTTATAAAAGGTTGAATTTAAGGAAAATTATTCGCAATTTGGTATAGCCATAGTGCCCAGAAAGCGGAGCAGAGCTGGTTTTTTTCTAGTGCATGTTAATTTTGTTCATAAGTTTTCCCAATGACTCAACACCTACCCATTGTTTAAAATGTCGCCACACTTTTCACTTTAAATGTGTTTCTCGGTAGTGATAATTCAAAGGCAATGAGTAGCGTTTGTCAATTCAATAAATTACGTATTGTGAAGCTTCGTTTGTAACAAATTATAAGTTAGTTTTGGAAAAACAAAATTAGTAAGTACAGCATCTTATGCCACAGGGCCGTCCTAACGTGACCATAGCCTGGATAAGTTTCGTAATAGACAGATAAGCAGTATCACGGCTCAATCAAGACTAGTATACATCTCACGTAACTGCTGAAAACGCAATATAAAGGGGTATTGAAACTGAGCAACTATTTTGGGCATGCCCTAAGTGCTCTAGAGATTCAGACAATTATAACAGGGAATTATACCAGTTCCGCTTCCGCAACATTGGGCGTGGTCCAAAAGATATTCGATCTCACTTAGGAGAAAACGCTCAGCTCACGTGAATTGAATCTGTCCAAGTAAGGTATGGGCCACTCCTTTTGCGGCGTCGTCTTAGGTGTGGTGGGATGCTCAATCTTTCCCTATGGTCTAATTGCATTTGTCTGAATGCCAAGAGAACAGCGACGTTGCCACTGCATCTCAAGCTATTAGGATTGCTTCCATTGAAATGAAACCAAACTCTAAACATGCATCCACCCCCCCCCCACACACACACACACACACATACCAAAAAAAAAAAAACGTTTAGTGCAATATCTACGTTTTCGGGCACATTTTGATTGACGAGCGATTCTAAGACATCCATGGATTTCGGACACTGACCAGGAACTAGAAAGGCTCTAATGAAACTGCACTGCCCTAAAAATACTTTAGCACAGGGTCTTATGAATTTCTTGTGATTAGCGCTACGCTCCAGTGTCACGAAGAACAGTGAGACACAGGCCAACATAAAACATGTAGCCAATATCAGGCAATGCATGAGCAAACACAGTATATTGAAGTCATATGTACGCATTAATTATCAAATATACTAATTAATTTTAAATACTTAGTATAATTGAGCATATTACTCGTAATTAGCGAAATTCCCTTAGCGGTGTAGCGGAAATTTTACCGGGGTCCGTGCGAATCGCAACCCGATACCCTTCCTCGGTGCCTTAGAAAGGACGTAAAGGGGAACGCAAGCGTCTGAACTACGCTTGTCTCACGGGAGCTTGCGATAGCAAGCAACACTCGGTGCTCACTGCTGGCTTCTGATTCACGAAGAGTAGCTTCCCACGTGATCTCATAACATCAAATGGCGGATCATAACTCATCATCAGATAGGATGACGGGCATATGATATCACGACTTCGCACAGCAATCAATAAATGGCGTAGCAGGAGCGACAAGGCATCGCGTGACATAGCTTACGTCACCACCCGCAGTTTGAGACGCCCCCTGCATCAGTCGGTGCGCCGCCCAAGCGGACGTCACGACGTATACATAACGTTTCTTTTTTTAGCTGAACAGATTTGTGTAAAAAAAGCCGCGAAAGCTACACTAATGCGGTTTAGGAAGTTAACTTTAATGGCCAGGAGGACATAATGTAGGGGAGTGGTCTGGTCGTCAGGATAAGGGGGAAAATTCACTGGCATTTGTTAAGTTTTTAATTAGTGAAAATACATATGATTTCAATTAGAAACATGATGAGCGTCCTCCAAAACAGCTAAATCTGTAATTTTTAGAAAGAATTTGAGCGTGTGCGAGGCGCAATAGCGTCCTAAAGTTACCACACGTGCAATAGGCGCAAAACTGGGGTTATCATAAAAGACGGAAAAACCGCGCGAGAGCGTTGTCGCACCGGTAGTATTGCTCCTGCTGCACGAGCGGTAACTTTAGCGCTACGCCGTGCATTTCACGTGCTTTAAGTCTTTCTAATATTGACTGATTTAGTGGCTTTTGATAACGTTCAGCAAGTTCCTAATTAGAACCATATGTTTTTTTTTTCAATAAATAAAGCGTTAATTAACAAACTGTAGGTAATAAGCCATCTGATCGTTATCATTAGCTTCCTATACTATGTAACCTCGCCGTATAACTAACTTGCACATATGGAATTAGCGTAGCTTTTTTTTTTTTAAACAAACCTCTTAAGCTTAAAAAAAAAAAAACTGCACAGATTGGTTGCACTGACATCACTTGGCCAGACATAACAGGAAAAAGGATTCGTGGAAGCGTGGCTTCCGGTCCCTTAAGGAGACTCTTCTCGCCACTAGAAAGAAGGGTGGACTGACGTCACGTGCAAGCAACGTACAAGGCAAAGCGAGCGCCGCATCTTAGGAAGGCGCACCCCCCTTATCAGACAGCCTGCACGGCCTGCCCCTGCCAGCGACACTTCCTAGCTTCACTTTGGTGCATAACACCACTACAAGGTAACACTACCTTGGCGAGCTCATTTTTCCTCCCTTATCTACTCCTGAATGAATTTATACTTGTCTTGATAATTCTGATGAACCCGGGGAGCATGTCGTGCGTGAAACGCTTTTGAAACCCTTCAAAGCTCCCAGGAACTAAGCATGACAAATCATGAGGTGTGCATAGTGCACTTTCGGCACATTCTGTGATCCCCTGGTTAATGATAACGATCAAGATAAGGCGGAATATTGGGATCAAGGTAAGTTTATTTTTCTTTGTGTTGCCTTCCCTGCGTGTAAATATTTTTGTTACAATCGAGCGTAACTTTTTTTGCGCAAATTTCAGCCTATAAACGCATTTTGTGTTCAAATTGTTATTGGTTATTAACATATCACTGTCAATCTAAATCTCGCAACATATCCGTCTTTAGCCAAACGGACGTGCATTGCACTGGGCGTTGTTTTCAAAAACACAGTCTGGCAACTGGTTGTGAAGTCAATGCGGGAAAGTTCAACAGATTATGCAAAGAAACAGTAAACCTAAAATCAGAAGCTGTGCTCTTGGCACTGCAATGTTTTGTGCACAACTCACGCGGAAGTAATCCCAACGGTATCACCTCCGCGTCGCGTAGTGGCGCAAAATTTGACCTTCGTATTTTTGTTTGAATTGTTCAGGCTAGTTTCATACAGGTTAGAGTTTGTTGCCACTACGTGCATTTAAAATCGACTTGATATGTCCCATGTAGTTCTGTCAAAGCGCTCTCTTCTACAGCTTTTCTGATATTCTTGCTCTACACTATAATATAAAAAAACTTCCGTGCGTCTAATTTTCCGCCAAGTACTCCTACAGCCGATCACTGCTATCTACGAGGCAGAAAATATGTTTAGACCTGAACATAAAATCTGCAATGTTGTACTGAGCACGACGTTCCCAATGTTCACGTTAGGGTATGTACCCCATCGCAGACTGCATTTCTAGGTCAATCTCGTCAATCGCCGAACCCCTTCTAGATATTGCAGTGATGAGCTTTCTGAGTGCTCTCCGAGGAAACAGGAGCACGGACATTTTTAGGGTGTTAGACAGGTTTGTATTTTAATACTGCATTCAATCTATGGACAGCAAATATTAAACCAGGATTTACAAAAATGAGTGCCAAAAATAAATAGTGAAGAAACTATTTTTCGCGGAAATACGTAAATGTGTTCCCAAACCAGACTTCTGGTTCCTTCCACTAATAACCGAACATACATTTTTCCCAACTGCCTGCAACAAATAAATGTATGTGCCCGTTAACTATGCCAATATTGTGAAGGCAACTGACTGGCTTTTATTTATAGCGTATTCAGCTGCCAGCATAAGGGAAGCAAACTGACCCCGCCCCGATTTTCAATTGTAAAAATATCCAACTCTCCTTTAAGAAGAAAAGTAAATTTTTACTGTATAAACCAAGGTTCTACAGAGTATATTAAATTCTAAATGTTGTACTGTTGACTGAAAAGAAAAAGAAACATGTTCAATAAGGTGCCTTTTTTCAGTACTAATCGCTTTTAATATACCGGCGAAATTTATGCCGTTCAAGGGGAAGCAGTGCAAGAAGTTATAAACACTAACTATTAGTACAACGTTACAACAGAATATTATGAGCATGCCTGAAACACGGACGCAATGTATTTCTCTTAAATGATCCCGTACGTTTACTTCTCCGCAGAGCACACAAAGAATCTATCACTGAGGTTGACTTGTGACTCCTGCGCTGTAGGTGTCCAAAACGTTTTCATGACCCAAAAGGGAGACTGGAACTTGGAACACTGAGGCTGTGAAGTGTCATGATTAGTGCCTAAATACAGGTTACATTTTCTTGTCTGAAGTGTTTTTTTTACCTTTTATTTGCGTTTAAACATCTCCTAAGCGCAGTAATGACATTAAGATAACTTGCAGAAAGGTAAACGGGTGAGAGTTTTAGAGTTATACGTTCGATTTTCATATCTTCTCAAAACTTTCGAACGTTTAATGGTAAAAGTATAAAAGAAAATGATGATAATTTTTGTATTGCTATTGTTGTTTTTAAAGCATTATATGTATTCATATTCTTGGCTACATTGTTTGGTGGGTATTTGGTTACTTCCTCGCGACTTCATCTTAAAGCTTGGCAATGCAAGGGAGCCTGGCCATTCGACAACCCAGCTGATAAAGACTTTATTTACCCTTTTCTCTTTAACTTCCAAATTCAAACGAGAAGACATATATCTCCCATTTTTGTCTTAAAGAAAAAAACACAGTGAATTATGACAACGAAGCTCTTCTCCACTTACCCAGTTTTTGCGAAAGTTGTCCACGTTTCCATCATCAGTTTCGAAAGATCCCTTTCCTGATCAGTGGCGATCGTAGGACTGCTGAACGGTTGGCCGAACACGAACGCCACTTCATCCCCATGGGTCGGTCCTACCCAACCAGGCCACGTGCTGAACGTTGGTCGATGTGTGAACTGATAATAGTGCACCTTGTTGCTCATTGAGGAGAACGTCTCCGCAAAGTATTTCGTGGGACAGACGATCGCATAATCGCCGACGGCCTCAGCGGCCTTCTGGAGCGCCTTTAGGTTTTCCTTCTCGCTGAGATGCCCGAGATAGTAGTTCCGAATGGGGGATACATTTCTCCGTAGAAGCATCTGAAGACAGTACGTCACGTACAGGTCAACTTCGTACTTTGTGATCTTGTGAGGCATGTCCAACGTCAGTACTCTTCCGAACAAAAAGAACACAAAGTAGCTACCTTCGTCTTGGTTTGTGCCAATCAGTAAGTCCGCTTTGTGAAACTTTTTCTGTTCCATCATCTTGTACGGGTCGTCAGGTATAATGTCGTCGCCGTAAATCGGAAAGAATGTCAGCGCGTGCACGCCGAACAGCGTGTTAGCCATAATGAGCAGTTCCTTGCCATCAACCTTCCGCAGACAGTTAACCATTTCGGGCATGTGGGATTCAATAGTCATGTCATTCGCAGCACACGACAAAGCACGGGCAAGCTTTTCTACCTTATGTGGCCCTTCTTTGGTGTTATCGGCAATGCGAAAGTACGGGCTGCCGCTTTCCATAATGACCCGCTTGAAGAGGCCTTTGCTCATTGGAGAAATCAGGTGCAGCCCAATCGAAATCGCTCCAGCACTTTGACCGAGCAGAGTGATGTCGTCCGGATTGCCGCCAAAGTTGCGGATGTTTTCTTTTACCCACTTCATGGCTAGCAACTGGTCGTGCAGTCCAGCATTGCCGGAAGAATGTGATGTTCCGCTGTTTAGAAAGCCTAGAGGTCCAACTCTGTAGTTCATGCTGACCATGACCACATCTCCTCGGGATGTGAACTCTTTTCCGTCGTACCAGTCCCAGCCACTACTCCCAAAGCTGAATGTGCCCCCGTGGATATAAACAATGGTGGTTTTAAGCACGCAAGACGACTTTCCAAGTACGCATTCTCTTGCTGGTGTCCACACGTTAAGGTAGAGGCAGTCCTCCGTGGAATTGGCTGTTGCGACCGTAACATTGTTGTTAATGTAGAAGTCAGTCTGCAGGCAAGGAAACGGTTTCTTTGTTGCATGATAGACACTCCTCCACGGTTTAACAGGAATTGGCTTCCGGAATCTAAGTTCGCCGACAGGAGGCTCTGCGAACGGGATTCCGAGGAAAGCATGAAGGCTCCGATTTTCGGCGTAAACTCTCATACCCTGCACAGGTCCATAGCTGGTTTCGACAATAGGACTTTCTTCTGTAGAAATAGGTTGCGACGTGGTTGTCAAAACTGCCTGGCTGTCATCTGGAGGAAGTACGAGCGAAAGCTGATCCTTCGCGGTCGACACAGATTGCGCAGTAGTTGGCACATAAATGTCAAGAGCACCGGTGACGTTGAGTGGCTGTCGGAGGTATATCTTCTCGTCCGTATCCTGGACCGGATCTCCGGGCTGAAAAATGTAGCATCTTGCATGTGCTTCTCGAAGGGCATACCCGGAGATGAGCAATATCAGGAGCTTAGTCTGCATGGCTGGTTTCTTCTTGATAACTGAAAGAAAAGCGATAAAACATTGGGGCCCTAAAAATTAATTCAATATAGGACAGCCGCTGACGTTGCTCGTTCGCGCCAGTCAATTGCGAAAATGAATACAGAGACCATAGTGTTTAGCCAATCATGTACAAATATTTTTCATGTTATAGTCAAATGTGCGCCAAAGTGTGAGAAGTGGTTTTACACATTTGAGGCCAACAACAAGGTAAACAACGAAATGCCAGAACGTCCAGGTTTCATTACGAAAAGTCCATCTCCTCTCTAAAATCTTCATATCATCGTTAATGTTTTTATACGTCTTTAATGTATTTATAACTATTATAAATAATTTATCTAGAACACTTCGAGCTGAATGGTGACTCTTTATGACGAGAAGACATCTTTAGCACTAATCATATTTACTACTCATGCACTGCAATGTTAATATGTACTGCGGCCCATGAGTCGCGAACTCGACATCCCGTTAAGTTAGAGCAATCAGATCTTCCCTAAAAAACATTTGAGTCCATTTTGTTTATTTAAACTAGGCAGTTCGACGGATTTCAGGATTTACTAACCACACATGTTGTCTTATGTACTGTACGCTCTAATAAATCTGGAGTGTCTGTTTTCCTGGAAAGCACTTGAGAGAGCCAATCATTACAATCTACGGCGGGTGCTCTAACCGAGCTGGTAATAGGTTCAAAGACGAAGAAAACTGTCTGCGCTGTGGCACTGGGCATACTGTTTCACCGTGCTCAATGCCACAGTGCAATTTTTTTTCTTTTTTTTTTGTGGGGGGGAGGGGTATAAACGTAATATTAGCCGCCTTACTCCCCGAGCACCGCGAATATCGCAGCAATTTACTCTGGGAGAGCAGATGCTACAGATTTCTTAGAGTGTATTCGTGACGGATGATCAATCGAGTTCTTTCAATACGATAACCGAATCTCGCAAAAACACCAACTGACTTTAGCGATCCTTAACCCATAGGCGGTACTTATTCGATATCTAGCGCGCAATATATGAGCGAATGTTGTCAATTTTTAAAGGACGTGAGCTAACTTTAGTGTGCGCTTGTATAGTATAGTCACCAAGACTTTAAGAAACGCAGGGTCGTGGCGAGTGCCAATCCCCTTATTATCGGCCCGCAGCCAATGAGATTGCTGAATTAGCTCATAAGAACGCCCAAGAACCAATCACGAAGCAAGAAGCTTGAAGTATAATAGGCCATACCCTACGTTGCCTAAGCTGCCAGTGACGACAGCACCCCACGCATCTCAAATGGAACTTGGGTTAAAGGACTTTCATCAAGAGGCGAGTCAGATCATGATACCGACTCCGGGTGTGCCACTATGTAGGCCCTGGTTCTCAGAGTCTTTATTGAAACACCTTTGACATAAATTACATGGTATGTTAAAAAACGCTACGGATAAGATGATTCGCTTTTTCTTTTATGGTTTCCCCAAGCAAACTCTTGTCTGTTTCTCAAAAAAAAAAAAAAGAACGCGGCGACGTTTGTACAACGCGTCCATTTCTTTTTTGGTTACAGTTAACACTAATAATGAATCTCAGTTGTCACCATATCCCACAGAAATTCACACAACTTCAACGAAAAATATAAATATTCTCAGTCGGAAATCGTTCAATGGGTTGTGTGCGGTAAATATATTTCAGAATGTAGATTCACATTAAAAAAATCGACGCGATTTAAATTTTGATAATCCTCCAAAGTCTGTCTTTATTTAGAGAACTGTGACTAATTCGTTTCACAGATTTTTTAGCAATAAAGCATGCAGCATGTCGGGTTTTCCTTTTAATAATTAAAAAGTTCATTAACTTTCGTTCATGATTTAAAAAATTCTCTCGCACATTATACTAAATCTTGGATTCTCGTTTGCACACAAAATCGTTAAGCTCTTAGGAATGGTGGTACATGCCCAGATGAAAAACACTAAATGGTTTACATAGCACGTAACCCGGCAATGCTGTAAAAGTTTGTCCAGCCCCGGTGCCCGGTAAGCTCATTTGATCTTGATTGATTTTCTTTTAACACTATGTACAATCAAATTTTATTATTACAAGCTTTATCCGACTGAAACAAATCAGCGTGATATTGTAATCCTTGTGTTCTAACCCTCTCTTCATACGCAGAACACCCGCGGAAAACAGAAGTTGACAAAATAATTTTGCATGCTCGTTTCGGTTTACGAGATTGAAGCAGCTTCTACATGAACAAATCTTAAGGCATGTTTTAGTAACGTATATGTCTGTGCCTCTTTATCATGATCGTTCATGCATTCACCTCCTCCATTAAATGGTGGTTTTCTCTTTGGGATGTATTTCCTGTAGGTTTTCAAAATTCAAACTAAAACAACCTACGCCAATCAAGCTAATCTCGAGAGTAATGAGTAATTACTGCGAGCATTGCAAGACTAACTACCCTGGAAAACATTAATCCATTATAAAGTGCATCTGTTGCGTTACTTGCCTTTTAAGTATTTGTTAGAATTGCGAAACAAACAGAACATATGACCTAACTTCGTACAATAATTCCTCTGTTCGTATGTTTTTTGTTTTTTTTAGGGGTTCTGTCCTCCCCACACACCAACCGCTTAAATCTTACTCCGCGTCGAGAAAAACGTTCAATGTGCAGCTTAGTGAGAAGCATGACAAAATCTGTCTCACAAACGTGCCTGTAAATTCCGCTTCCGCGTGTGCCACAAGCCGCAAAACCTAAAGAGCCTAGACGATACATCGCAGTTATGCATGCGCTCGGTTCTGAACTTGTTTCTCCCAGCTATAGGGTTCCGCTATCTGCCAAGAAGAATCCTTCGCCGAATACAAAGCCACAGGAAAGGACACCAGGTCAAGCGCTATTATAGCACCAAATCCAATCGGTCACGACGCCACATAACGCGCGGCATATCTGCTTTCACGCGAAATCGGATCAGCGCCGCATCTCACGCTCCTCCGTCCGTAGTCACGACGCCAAGGGGCTGCACGCCTTGTCCACCGTGTCGCTCCCGTGTCACCCCGTGCTGGTGCCCAAGACCCCGTCGACTCACCTTGTTCAGCGTACAGCTTGTCCGGACGTCATCCGCCGCCACGGGTGTAGTCCCTGCGTGTCTCTCCGGTCACCGTCGACCGTGCCGTCTCTCGGGCAAATTGACTTTCGCTCCCGAGTCGGCAAACTAGGTCGCGCACTATTTAGGGCCCCATTGGAGCCACGGCGCTGCTCCTCGACCGACCACGTCTTCCTGGTGCGAGGGTGACCGCCGGCCAATGACTCCTCCGGTGTCGTTTCTTCTGGACGTGAGTGCGTATACGCTACCCTGTGTATGCCTCTGCAACTGTGTCCGCGTCTGTGTGTGTGTGCGTGCACGCGTGGTCGTGTGCCGAGGAAAACAGTGATAGGGACGCGGCGCTCTTTTAAACTGAGGGAACCACCGAAAGTGGCTGGAGGAAGCTTCTAACTTTGGATGGGGCTCCCATGGAGCGGGACAATCTCTCCAGAGCGCAAACAATATCTAGTGATCAGTGTAGGGAGCCGATTGTGCTTAATCAGTGTAAATACCTGTGTTTTCTTTGTTGCGTAGACTAGTCCGGTTTTCAATTAGAACAAAATGTTTGGCGTCCACCTTGAGTGCATTGGCTCTGAGAGCGGTGGAAGTTTTACGGTGGCGCTTCGGAATGCCAGAAAGGATCTGTTTGAGCACCATGTTGGGGCATTACTTGCATTTTTATATTCGCCTTGTCTAATAGTTTTCTTCGAGTTCGGAAACATTAGAGGCACTGCGGGCATCGTTGGTATTATCGTAATGGACCTTAATGGCACCATTTCGACCCAGCGAGCGAAACTTCGCAGGAGCGTGAGATAGGCGTCCAGCGTCTCTCGAATTTGCCTCGAATGACCTGGTTTTCTTGTTTCCACTGGACGCCATGACTTAAAAACCTACGCTTGGAGTTTTTACACTCGTCTTCGTTTTTTTTTTTTATTTCTTTATGACGCACACCGCACGAATGACGTTTTATTAAGTTAATGTTATCCCCTTAATATCTTGCGCACTGCCGCCACCGCTATACTCGTGAGGCAAAATATTTGTATCATGCTGTTTCAATTGATTCGACCTTATATTTCGTTCATTATGCATTTTGAAGAAAAAAATTAATTTAATATTTTTTTATAATATCGTTGTGTTTTGATATCACACTATTTAACAGTAAAGTAGAAGGACCTCTGAAACTGCATGTAATTTAAAATTGGTCTTCGACGAAATAGTTTCAGCGGTTAGAATTTTGGCTTCTTTCATCAGTTGGCATTTTCTATGCGAGAAAAATAAATCATGTAAGATATCCAATTTCCAAACTTAATAAAATTACACAAAGAAAAAGACTAAAAAGAAAATTATGCTGTCGTAGAGTCTCATATTGTACTTTATGTCTCGTAAATTATTAGGGTGCAATAATTATTGGTTGTAGTGAAAATGAGCATTATTCTAGTTCATGCTTGCCCACGTATAGTATTTTAATGTGGCATATTAATATTTCTACCCGTATTTCTAAATCAACAAACATTAACCTCGTGTGAATGTTTTTTATATCTGCACGATTACAAGCCAGGGCAACCAAATATAAGATTAAATCAATAAATTTGAAGAAATGTGTTCTTTTTTCTTAAAAAAAAATACGATAGCAAATACATTTTCCTCTGATCAAAGTTGCTCAGCGAGTGGAAGCCACTTTTCCTCTAGGCGCCCTAGAACCCCCGTTTTTCTTGCTTTATTTATTTATTTTTTGACCTCTTTTGGAAAAGGTCTAGGTCAAAATAAAAAAAAAAAAAGAAACTTCGGTGTTATCAAGGAGGTTGTATAAATTGAAGCACCTTTTTCTTTCTCTAAGTTTGACGACGCAGCCGCCACTTAGGCAACGTTCCGCGTGATGTCACTGCGCAGACTATGACTCCGTGCCAGAGAACTAATATAGTAGTAGTAGTAG